GTGTAAAATAATAATAAATAATAATAATAAACGGTTTATTAATAGAGTTGCAGCTGGTGGCTGAAAATATACTTACATTTGATTTAGACATAATGATATAATATGCATTGAATACATTTACAGGGCTGTACAGTACATAAATCAGGAGTTAATAATAATAATGAACGGTTTATTAATAGAGTTGCAGCCGGTGGCTGAAAATATACAGACTTACATTTAACATAAGAACATAAGAATGGAGGAAACTGCAGCGGGCCTATTGGCCCATACTGGGCAGTCCCGTTTACACCCAACCCCTATTGCTCATATAAGCATCTAACCTATGTTTGAAGCTATTCAGCGTATTCGAGTTAATGATGATATTTGGTAACTTGTTCCATTCATCCACTACTCTGTTTCCAAACCAGTGTTTACCTATTTCCCGCCTAAATCTAAATTTGTCTAATTTAAAACCATTGTTACGAGTTCGCTCCTGGATGGATAGTTTGAGTACCTTTGTAATGTCCCCTTTGTTTAGCCCTGCCTTCCACTTGTACACCTCTATCAGGTCGCCCCTCGCTCTACGTCTCTCGAGGGAGTGCAAATTAAGATGCTTTAACCTGTCTCTATACTCAAGGTTCCTAATGCCCGGGATTAGTCTTGTCATTCTCCTCTGAATTCTTTCCAAGGATTCTATATCCATTCTGTAATACGGTGACCAGAACTGAACTGCGTAATCCAGGTGTGGTCTCACAAGAACAAGATACAGTTTTAGGATGACCTCGCTTGTCTTGTAACTAACACTCCTTTGTATGAACCCAAGTACTTTATTAGCCTTGTTACGAGCAAAAACACATTGTTTACTTGGCTTAAGGTTCCTACTTATCATTACTCCTAAATCTCTCTCGCAGTCGGATTTCTCTTTGGCATCGTTGTTCATCTGGTATCTGGTTTCCCTGTTTACATCTCCTATACTGAGTACTTTACATTTGTCCACGTTGAATTTCATCTGCCATTTTTCAGACCATTCGAAAAATTTGTTTAGATCTTCCTGTAGTTTTGCTGAGTCCTCGTCGGATTTAATAACACGTCCTATTTTAGTGTCATCAGCAAATTTACTTATGTTGCTGTCTATGCCGATATCTATGTCGTTTATGTATATAATAAATAATAATGGTCCAAGTACTGAGCCTTGGGGAACTTCACTTGTGACGTTGCTCCAATGGGACTTAGTGCCGTTAATGCTCACTCGCTGTTTCCTGTCCTGTAACCACGCCCTAATCCATTTAAGGATGTTACCTTTGATGCCATGAGCTTCTACCTTTCTAATTAGTCTTTCGTGGGGGACTCTGTCGAAGGCTTTGCTAAAGTCGAGATATACCACATCATAATTGTGCCCCTCGTCCACCGATTCGAAAACTGATGAAAAGAATGTTAATAGATTAGTTAGACAAGAACGTCCGCTTGTGAAGCCATGCTGGGAATCATTGATTAATCGGTGCTTCTCCAGGTGATTTCGAATAGAGTTTGAAATGATTGCTTCCAGTAATTTGATTTAGACATGTGTGTGTGTGTGTTACGTCATACACTATTGGTGGATGGTGTTATATAATAATATACATTGATTCTAATATACTAAGTTTATGCAAGAAATTAATATCACCTGAAGATAAGTCCCTATAGTTTATTTCACCTGATGATTAAAACACCCTGACGCTACCTGGGGGAAGGGGGGGGCAGTCTTCAGGTGACTCCTAAATTACATACTACACCTGTACTAGACACACCACAACTATGGCCCTCACCTGTACTCTGGGGGGGGGACCAACATGGCGGCCAGACTACACAGAGACTCGACTATAGATGCATCATATTATATCTCGTCCCCTTAATATAGATAAAAAAATTAATATATGAATCTGTTAATTCGAGTGTTTGTTAATCCGAGTGTTTGATAACCTGAGTGTCTGCTAATCCGAGTGTCTGATAACCTGAGTCTGTTAACCTAAACTAACCCACATAACCTAATCTATCCGGGACACTTGTACACACCCACATGACCTAACCTAACCAATTAAAACCTAACTTAACCACACCTAACCTAACTTAATCTAACCAAGGCACCAGTTCTACCACCTCTGTGTGTGTGTGTTGAGGGGTTGAGTCCAGGGGCCGGGCGTCGCCTTAAGAATATTCCCGTAAGGAAAGTGGGTGGGGGGGGGGGGGGCACAGGCTGGGTCGTATGCACTTCTTTGGTTCAAGCGGCACTACCACCAACAGGGCCTGTGTGTGTGTGTGTGTGTGTATGTATGTATGTATGTGTGTGTGTGTGTGTGTGTGTTGTTTGGTATCTTACTTCCCTCATCTTCCTTCTTGTTTTATTACGTTCTTCCTTCTACTATTACTTCTCTTCATCATCTTTTCTTTTTACCTCTTCGTGTTTTTCCCTCCCCCCTCCTCCTCCTCTTTCTTCGTTCCCTTCCTCCTCCATTCTGTGTGCTTCCTTCTTCCTCTTCCCTCCTGATGTAGTGGTATTTTGTGTCCGTTGTTGGTGGTGTTTTTTACCGTCGTTACTGAGAGACCAAGGACTTCGGGGGGTTGGGAGGGGTGAGTGAGGGAGGAATGGATAGGATGGAATGAGGGAGGTGATGAGAGGGGGAATGAGGAAGTGGGAATTGGGATACAGAATGTGAAGGAGGAGGGAGAGGGGGTTGGGAGGGGGTTGGGGATATGTTGTCATCGGTGTCAGTATGAGTCACTCGAGAACAACAATTAAGTCCGTTTGTCTGTCAGTGCACCAGAGTTCAGTGATAGCAATGTACCAGCGCTCCTGTGGGCGTATTTAAAACTCTCCTTACTCGGGTATTCATCCACTGTACCGTACAGTCGGCTACACTTATACCTGGTACAGTGGCTGGTGCCTTTTGTAAGATGTGGCAACACCGTGGAATGCGCATCTAGCATCATTAAATCTGGCTACCATTGAGAGGTTCCTTAGGGCCATTCTAGGAGTTATAATACGATGTAAACAAACACAGAGTTGCCACATCTCACAAAATAACCCCACCCACTGTACCAGGTATAAATGCTGCCAACTGTACCAACCTGATTTTCTTTTACAATATACCTGCATCTGTACCTCAATAATAACAACACCATCACCATATCTAGCCTCTCGGTATGTGGCCAATATGATGCATAAACAAATAATAAATTAACATTACAGATACAGCTGAGGTGTAAGGAACAGTTACTGGGAGTGGTGGTGGAAGGAGCAGTCAATCACAGGTGTGGTGGGGGTACTGACCAGTGGAAGGTACACAGTAGGACACAGTGGTTGAGCTTCTGTTGTGTGTCGTCAGCCTGGCATGAGAGACAGCAGCTTTACACTCTCAATATACATCTCTGGACCCTAACCAGCGGACGAATACACAAGTAGGAATTCCTCAGCCCGCCGCCAGCCAGTTAAAACCAGCAGTTTAACATTACACTGCATACTAAACACAAGGAGGCAGCAAGACCGTCACTGCACTCGATCGCCTCTCTCTTCCTCAACCTCAGCTCAATCGAATGTGGTCACCTTACTATATTGCCGACCACTGACTTCGAACCGGTGACCGTTGGATCAAGAAGAGAGAGTTGTGTCTGCTGGACCACCGTGTCCTTAGAGGTTAATATGTTGCAGCATTAGCCATATAAACATACTGTGTAGTGGTACGCATGGTGCACTAGAAGATGACGAGAGCACGCGCACACACACACACACACAAGAGCACATTAATTACTGTACATTAATAGGTCACATCACCTTGTACACACAGCAATAAGAGTACTGATGAACACCCAAGCAATGTGCACTTACATCCTTTAACACAATGGAACACCGTAATAGAACATAACTTAAGAATGAAGGAAACTACAGCGGGTCTATTGGTCCATAATGGCCAGTCCCGTTTACACCCAACCCCTATTGCTCATATATCCACCCAACCTATGTTTGAAGCTGTCCAGCGTATTCGAGTGAATGATGAAGTTTGGTAACTTGTTCCACTCGCCCACTACTCTATTTCCATTGTTTACCTATCTCGCGTCTAAATCAATATTTGTCTAATTTAAAACCATTGCTACGAGTTTGCTCCTGGTTGGATAGTTTGAGTACCTTTGTTATATCACCTTTGTTTAGCCCTGACTTCCATTTATACTCCTCACTTATTCAATACACTAATTTTGGATCACCTGAAGATTAGACACCCCAGTTTATCTCGCCATTAGATTAACCATTCTAACTTAACCTAATCTAACTATCCTAACTTAACCTAACCCAAACCTAACCTAACTTACCCTAGTCTAACCTGCTAGGTAGGGTGTGGGCGTCAAATCTGCAGGTGGAATAAGCTTGGGGTGTCTAATCTCCAGGTGATCCGAAGTCCTCAGGCGCCACTCATTATATAGTTAAGTAGTCAGGAAGCACTTATCACACACCTGTCTACCCGGTGCACTGTTCCCTTGCCGTGACCTTTACCACCGCCTGACCTCCGACCAACACACACACCAGCTATTGGGGTTGTCATGGTAACCAACCCTTTCTGGTCATTTAAACCGAGAGTAGTTGACCTTCATATCTGACCTTTAGGATCATCTGAAGATTAGACACCCCCTATTATTAGGAGATTAACCGGACTAACGCTACCTGGGGATAAGGTAAGGTAAGGTATGGTAAGGTTATATTGTAGTGCATGGGTTAAGATAGGTTAGGTTAGTTTAACATTACGATGATTGGTTAGGTTAGGTTAACATTACGATGATTGGTTAGGTTAGGTTAACATTACGATGATAGGTTAGGTTAACATTACGATGATTGGTTAGGTTAGGTTAGTTTAACATTACGATGATTGGTTAGGTTAGGTTAACATTACGATGATTGGTTAGGTTAGGTTAGTTTAGGTTAACATTACGATGATTGGTTAAGGTTCAGGTGAGCGACATTAACTTGTACTGAAACTCCTGAAGGCGATACTCACATTCTTAACCGTGGCTGGTCCCTCGTTAAAGTGGTCAGAGGTCGTCCAGTATTCACACAAGTATCTCTGAAACACACAAGAGGAAGCCACAGATTACACTAATGACCCGTGAACTAGTGTTAATAGTTCCCGACCTAACGTGACCTAATCCATCATAATCTAACCTAACTTAACATAATTCAACCTAACTTAATCTAACCTAACCATTAAGACTGGGGTTAAGTCCTTATGAACCCCGATACTAATGGTTAGATCAGGTTAGGTTAGGTCAGGTCAGGTTAGGTCAGGTTAGGTCAGGTTAGGTTAAGACTTAATATTACGTTCAGACAATAGAAAAAAAATGGTAAAATCGCTTCGTATCCTTCTGTCGTTAAGTGACGTCAGACCCACATGACTGACCATAGTGACGTCAGACCCACATGACTGACATCAGATAACAACAACAATAATAACAATAAAAAATCACAATAACATTAACCACAAAAAATAACAACAATAATAATAACTACATAGAATATACGTATATAATTAATCGCTTCAGAAACATAGTTATTAATAAAAAAAAATGGATCCCATATCCCCTTCAACCACATACTGCGTCACACTCACCCAAGACAACCCTATACCACACTGTACCTCACCCCGTCTACCACGATACTACCACCAATACACTATCCACTCTTTAAATAGGCATGATATCTAACGACCATGTACAATAATCGAACTGGCATTAATCACCGGGACGATAACACACTGATATCGTAACGTTAACCACTCCCGCTATCATGTTATTTACACTACCATGATTGCCTGTCTGTTTCATAGCTGCTGCAACTTGATCAATATGAGAGAGAGAGAGAGAGAGAGAGAGAGAGTCATCACCATCAATCTTCCACAGTGACGGCGCTAATCCCCTGACCTGGACCATCAACCACTATAGAATAACACACAGGTACAGTACATATATAACACAGGTGTACATATTCAACTATATACCATCAGTGTGTCAGGTAAGGACCTCCCGTGTGTAGTAAGTAAATCACAGGTTGTTGGCACGTGATAATATGCCGCGGCTGAGAGTCTCGTGTGATGGTGAAGGTGGTGGTGGATTAGGGGTGGTGGTAGTGGGGTTGGTGTGGCGGTGGTTGTGTGGTTGGGATGGTGTGGCGGTGGTAGTGTGGTTGGTGTGGCGGTGGTAGTGTGGTTGGGATGGTGGGGTTGGTGTGGCAGTGATAGTGTGGTTGGTGTGGCAGTGGTAGTGTGGTTGGTGTGGCGGTGGTAGTGTGGTTGGGGTGGAGGGACTAGAGGTGTGGTGGTGGTGACGGGTTCAGGGGGTTCCGTGCACGTCTTCCCTCCAACCAGCACCCGACTGAGTGTACCCCCTCACCCTCCCTCAGCAAACCCTCAGAGCTGGACACACTAGGGCTGTAAACATCATATAGATGCCATATTCTTAAACAGGCCTCAAACTAACCTAACCTAACCATAATAATCGGGGTCCATAGGAGTGGATTCAATTCAAATGGTCTTTGATTAAAACCTATTAGGATGGGGAGGGGGGAACTGATGATGCACCTACGCACGACGCCCCCAGCAGAGAGGGAAGGAGCCGTTTCGTTCATGCCTTCAGGGGCCGCCCACACCTCTCTCTCTCTCTCTCTTGCTGCTACGAGTTCCACTCTTTACTGCACTCCGGTGATCATCACACACACACACCACCATCCCCCCTCTACACACACCACCTGACATCCCCCCCTCCCACACACACACACACACATATACAGTATATATATAAAGCCACCCACCCACGCTCACACAAGCCCCTAGCGCACATAATTCCTCAGAGCGGATTCACAACACACACACACACACTACCCTCAGGATACAGTAAAGCGATGTTCAGGTATCTCACGGTATTACAAAAAAAATCACACGTTACAATTAATTACCTTCCTCTATCGATTGTCTCAGGTGTGGGTTACAGATGCTCTAATTACCCTGTACCGTACCTGCGACTTTAAAACCATTATCCACTTCTGTATTCGTAGATTCTGTACAAATTTCTCAATGTATAATTACTGTACCTGTAGTAATATATCCACGCCTATACTTGTATTACTGTATTATGTACCAGAATATAAATTACAGTGGTCATGTAATTCACCTATATTTCAATGGTCATTACGCTCTAAAATACAGTACTGTACCTCGGGTTGTGGGTCGAATCTTTACCATATGTACCGGTAAGTGACCAACACACATACAGTACCGGTAAACACACACACAGTACCGGTAAACACACATACAGTACCGGTAAACACACATACAGTACCGGTAAACACACATACAGTACCGTTAACACACATACAGTACCGTTAACACACATACAGTACCGGTAAACACACACACACAGTACCGGTAAACACACACAGTACCTAAACACACAGTACCGGTAAACACACACACAGTACCGGTAAACACACATACAGTACCGGTAAACACCATACAGTAAACACACACACAGTACCGTAAAACACACACAGTACCGTAAACACAACAGTACCGAAACACACATACATACCGTTAACACACATCATACCGTCACATACAGTACCGGTAAACACACACACAGTACCGTTAACACACACCGGTAAACACACACAGTACCGGTAACACACATACAGTACCGGTAAACACACACATACCGGTACACACACACAGTTCGGTAAACACACAACAGTACCAGTAAACACACACACATACCACAAAAAAACACAGTACCGGTAAACACACATACAGTTCCGGTAAACACACACAGTACCGGTAAACACACACACAGTACCGGTAAACACACATACAGTTCCGGTAAACGCACATACAGTACCGGTAAACACACATACAGTTCCGGTAAACACACATACAGTACCGGTAAAACACACACAGTACCGGTAAACACACACACAATACCGGTAAACACACACACAGTTCGGTAAACGCACATACAGTACCGGTAAACACACATACAGTTCCGGTAAACGCACATACAGTACCGGTAAACACACATACAGTACCGGTAAACACACACAGTACCGGTAAACACACACACAGTTCCGTAAACACATACAGTACCGTAAACACACACACAGTACCGGTAAACACACACACAGTACCGGTAAAACACACATACAGTACCGTAAACACACACAGTACCAAAACACAAGTACCGGTAACACACATACAGTACCGATAAATACAGTACCGGTAAACACACATACAGTGCCGGTAAACACACACACAGTACCGTAAACACACACACAGTACAGTTAAACACACACCACAGTACCGGTAAAACACACACAGTACCGGTAAACACACACACACACAGTACCGGTAAACACACATACAGTACTAACACACCAGTACCGGTAAACACACACACAGTACCAACACACACACCACACAGTACCGTAAACACACATACAGTCCGGTAAACACACACACAGTACCGTAACACACACACAGTCCGGTGAACCACACACACACACAGTACCGGTAAACACATACAGTACCGGTAAACACACAGTACCAGTAAACACACACAGTACCGGTAAACACACACAGTACGGTAAACACACATACAGTACCGGTAAACACACATACAGTACCGGTAAACACACACATACCGGTAAACAAAATATCACGAGACAGCACATATACCGGATGTCCAGTACCACAGGACCGGTAGTGTTGGTGTGGTCATGAGTGAAGCGCGGCTTTCCCAGTATTACGACCAGAGAAAGAATACGTCAAGAGGTTGGTATACTGGGTGTGTGTGTGTGTGTGTGTGTGTGTGTGTGTGTATGTATGTGTGTGTGTGTGAGTATCAGGCAATATGTTAAGAAAAAGACGATTTACGTAATAACTTGGGAAAAGAAGATCAGTTAGACCAGAAAAGGCTAGGTTAGGTTAGGTTAGGATTACATAGGTTAGATTAGGTTGGATTAGGTTGAGTTAGGTTACGTTAGGATTAGGTTAGGTTAGGCTATAGGTTAGATTAGGTTAGGGTGGCTAATCCTCAAGTGATCCATTATCATGCCTCCAGAAGACTCACCCAGGAGGGGGTGTCATGGAGCCTCACATCCGGCGTGTGACAGTGATGATGACTCTTGACAGTGTGGTGAAGGCAAGTACTCAACCACTCGTCAGGGGGCAACACCACCACCACCACACTCCAGCAACACGAGGCTCACAATAAACCAGGGGGAGGAAGGGGGTAGAGGAAGGGGTAAGATAGGAAAGGGGAGAGGAAGGTGGGTGTCTGGGGAATGTATCATGATTTGGACTTTGGGGGAGAGAGAGGAGGAAACGGTGCTTGTGAAACGACTAGACAAACACTAGTTAGCTCACACACACAACATAACTACGAAAAACAATGAAACACCAAATTCTGAAATTATATACATAAAAAAACAAAAAAACATCAAATATGAAATTGACAGAAAAAAAACACCTCACTCCGTCTGTCACAAATTAAATAATAATCCTCCACGTGTATGTGTGCGTGTCCTTGTGCTCCACTGGGTGAAAATAACAGCGTAGACAAACAGGTGAAAATCACACACACACACACACACACACTCACACACACACAGAGTAAACACACTATGAATCCTGGTATTTGTTTGGTATCCGCGGACAAGTGTTTCGGCTTCCCACTAGCTGGACGCAGGGCCACTAAACCTGGTCTTAACACCTTCAGGATACCGTGTGGCCACCTTCAGGAGACCGTGTGGCCGCTACCAACTTCCCGATCAAGTCCTAGTCGCCGTCTATATCAGAGCCCCAAAGTTCAATGAATAGTTCAACCTCATCAAAGCCGTGTGTCGTGAAATTATGGTGAACCACACACACACACTGACCCCTCCCACACACACATACACAGATCCCTCCCCCACACAAACACACTCACCTCCCTCCCACACACACTGATCCCTCCCCCACAAACACACTGATCCTCCCCACACACTGATCCCCCACCCACACATACACACTGATCCCTCCCACAC